ACCTTTGCTAATCATGTGTTAGCTAAAACTACCATTTGATTGAACATCTAACATGCGTAACTATTATAAAGACTATTTTGAAAAAAAAATGAATAAATATGAGAGACAAAGTAGATTGAGATCTTATATTTAGAACTAAATTAAAAGTCAACTAGCTTTTATATTAAAGACAAGAGATAACATGTGAATAACCAACTAATCCAGTTCAGGATTTATGGCTGAGAATGCTTTATATGGGAGTTGGAGGTTGAAAGTTAGATAATGAGAAAAGGAAAAACTTACTGGGTAAAATTCTGGCCCAAGATATAGAAAAGCGATAACTGTTTACTCCAATATCCTCTATAAGATCCACATCTTCCTGTGTTTTCCGCCGCCAAATCAAATAAGTAACAAACTGAGATTGGCAATTTCTCTTCATGATTTTTCTTTCGGGCCATAGCCTGTGTGAATAATATAAGCATAATTGAAAAACATTATTTATTGCAAGACCGTTTAAAAATTGTTTGAAACTTTTTCCCCCCTTAAATACCCTTATAGTGTAAGGATGTCTAACCTTAACTAAATTTATTAATTCTATGAAATGGTTTAAGACTTTAAAAAACGGGTTTTTGGCTATTAAGCTTAGAATAAGTTCACATACGCTTTTTTTATTTTTAATATTTTTTATTGAAGATAATTGATGAGATATGATTAACATCAAATATGATTTATTATTTATCAATGAAATGTTAAAAGCCAAATAGAAAGAATTAAATCAACTATGATACTGTGTGTGTTTATATATATGTCTTATTAATGGCAAAATATATGTACGTGTCTGTCTTATTATGCAGTATATATCTTCCTAGTCTATAAATGGTTATATTAATAATTTAGTTTACTTGTAGTTTATAAATTAAATAAGATAACAAAAAGGTGAAAAATAATTAATATGTGAGGGGTATGATTATTAGTTAGAAGTGAATTATTTGTGGGGCACTTTAATTAATCATCAAGAGGCGATACGAAAATACAGATGGGGGAAGGAAATGATGGGACAAAAAGAGAAATTGACCAGTGGGGCTGCCCATTTGTCCATTCAGTCCCTCTTAATCACTTTACGAATCATGAGTAGCTTTTGTATTCCATGTAATTTCATTCTAATGATTAAAATGTAATTTTAATGGTTCACATTTTTTACATAGGCTTATTCATTATATCATTTTTCTATATTACAAACATTTTATTATTTTTATACTTTGAAAAGAACAAGATAATTAAGCACTGTGTTCAATCATGTTTGTATTTACTATAATTGGTATGATTAATTTCTATCATGAAACGATCTGAATTTCCTGAGCTCCTTGAAGTATATTTTAGGAGTTGACAATGAACATGCACTTGTTTTTATTTTCCTGTTATATATACTTAGGGCTTGTTTGGGATTATGATTGGGATTTTCAAAAGCACTTATTTACATAATTGGACATAAAACTCTTATTACATACTTATCTTAAATTTTATAAATCACGATTGAAACGTTACGTTTAAAGGATTGTAACACCATTCCAAACAAGCCCTCAGTAATATGTTTGGTATATAGAGAAGTTCTTGGAGGGTAAGAAAGAGAACAGGAGGGAAAATGTTTTTACTGTACGTGGTAATTGAAAAAAAAATGAAAAATGGTTTTTTTTAAGAAAAACAAATTCTTATGCTTATAGGTGAGAAATTTCCATTCTCATTTCTTTCGCACGTTCATGTTATGCCAAACAGACAGTGAAATATTTTGAAATCTAATAAACTAAGTATATATTTTTTTTATTTATAAGTCACTTTCAATGTGTTTCACAGAAGCTAAGAGAAATATTAAACTTCATTAACTCTACCTTAAAATTTGACAACTTTTCAATTTTATCCCTATTTAATATGTATACTTTTCAAGAAAATAACAATTTAGATGATAATAAATGAAGAGTAAAATAGTATATTCATGCTAAATATTTAATGATATGACTTGTAAATTTAAAAAAAAAAAAAGACTTCTGTATGTCATGTAAATAAAACTACAGGAGTCACTAACACTTAGAAGTAGTTGATATTACCAAAAAGAGAAACTAAACTTAATAGAGTATTCATACCAAAAAGAGAAAGATAAAGCTGATAGAAGATATTGATACCTGATAACGATGATATTCATCAACAGCAATATCTCCATTAGTTCCATCCATTATGTTACCTGAAAAGGACAACAATATAATATAATATAGCTCTCTACTTCATTAGTTTCTAATTAGGTTTCTGGACGTGGACCATCAAAGCCATCATCATACTGGGAAGTTCATCATTAAAGAAACAGAAAACCTGGTCTATGAGTGAAAACATCCCAGTTACTCAGTCCCTTCCCATCACTCAAGAAAGCTCCTTCAACCTGCAAACCGAGACACGCACAAATATATATGATGATGATCAAAACCCTTGATTTCCATTCATATATATGTCATGTTTAAATTGTAATATATGAAGAACTGGGAAAAACAAAATAGAAAATGAACCTGGTAAGAGGAAGATGCAGTTCCGAAGAGAAAATTACTGGGAAAAGTAGGAGACGATTCTAAATTCTGGTTCATGGATAGAACATTAGTCGCACTATAAGCTGCCATGAAAATTGACAACCATAAGCTTAAGGTGAAGAGACGAGAATTTCGAAGCAGACATGATACTGCAAACTCCATTCTTATCTTATGATCCTGTCTTTCTGTGTGTGTGTTGTGTGTGTGTGTGTGTGTGTGTGTGTGTTACGCATATATACATCACTTCTGAGTTCGTCATGAGTGAGAAGTGAAGAATATTAGTGATTATTATAAACTGACAAGGACGAGACTAATTACTGTCATAACTCAAAATTTGACATGCAACCATCAATTCTTAAGGGCTGTCCAAATGACCTTGGAGTTTTGAGAGAAAGTTTAATTAATTTGAATTTAGGAGAATAAGAAGGGAAAAAATTGGACATTATTTATCATTTAAACTAGTTTAATTTCTGCATACATTAAAGGGTTTCACAAATAAATCACACTATCTACAATTATGACTTCTTGGACATTTTATACTTTAAACTAACGATACTGATATAGATAATAGTAAAATCAATTGATAATATATTGAACAGGTCTCAGCTTCCTATATACTACCTCCGGTCCTTAATATAACACTTCATTTGACTTTTATTTTGGTTCTAATTATAAGATCCCAATCCACTTTGTCTATCATATTTATGCATTTTTTTTTCAAGATAGTTCTTCTAATAATGGTAATTCTAGCCAGTACACTTGATTAGTAAGGATATTTTAGAAAAGACAACACCTATTTATTACAAATAACTAATTTAACTTATTTTCTTAACCTCTTCAAATTAGCCAACTAGCTTTTATAATTAGGACTGGAGATACTATTTGATATGAATGTTACTGATAATTATATTGCTATATTAGTGATACTGATAATCTAAAACATTACTCTGGGTCCTCATTATACTTTTAATTAACTGGCCCCATGGTTTTTAAAATAGGATTTTGATTTCATAGTTGAATTTTAACTAGTAGTGGACTAAATAATGATGGAGTGAAAAACCCAATCAGATTGGCCACAGGCATAACAACAGGGGAGCTAAAATAATATAGACTGGAAAAGTCTATCATTTATTGCAAAAGGATTTGATGTTGCATTGTTAGGAATAAATCAAATCCGATACGCAATCTGGAAAGTTTTGGAAGATAGACAACGAAAGCTAGTTTGATTGCAACATTTTTGGAAACTGGCAATCAACTTGTCAAGAATCCTACAATCATTAAGAAGCTGACCTTCCTCAATATTCATGGTGGAATCTGGAAGGACACGAACTCGTGACTCTTTTAGAGAAACTAAAGGTGCGTGCCGATAAAGAACCCATACTGCAACAAAAAGGAAAGGAAAAGTACCCGTTGGTGATTGAAGGCGTTCATGAGAAAAATTTTACCATCCTTGTGATTCTATTCATCTTGACCAGGATTAGTTGGAGTTTAATATGATTTTTCACTTTGAAAAAAAAAATAGAGTTGTACAGAAATTAGATATGTGAGGAAAGAAAATGGAAGCATGGAAGCCACACATTCAAAGAAAATGATTTGAATGAAGAAATCGATCAAGTATTTGAAGTGCAAAAGATTGAATCTCTCCAACGGCTCACCAGCTAGCTCATTGAAGGACATAGAGGCCAGTTAGTTTCCTTGAAGACATAGGCCATAACGATACATAGCATCCCACTCTAAGCGGCCCAATTACTATTTACATTTTTTCCTGTTATAAAAAATTTAGATGAATTAAGTCTCATAATTTATCAGGGTCAGAATATGCCTTTAGGTTCAGAAAATGTTTTAAAAAGTACTTACAAATCTTATGGGTTATGAACCAACACTTACCAACTGAATCAACTCTTATTTACATTTACCATTTATATTTCATTGCTTGGCAAGACACATTTCTTTTGGTACAAAAGAGGCCAGAGCCCAATTACAAGAAACTAGATAGACTGGTACCAGCCCCCAAACTCTCTTTCTGCACAAGTATCGCAAGGTTCCCTGGACAAACTTCATACAAAGATGTCTCTGCAATTCCTTTCTTCGCCAACGCATCTGCAACCGTGTTACAATCTCTAGAAATATGCACCAACTTGACTTCCCTTGGCAAAACACATTTTGAAATTGCGCAAACACCGATTCATCCCCCTTCAAGTGTTGCATGTTCGGCCTCACTTGCTTTGATCCAATGACTGAATTGACATTTGAACACCACATTGTCTGGTTTCCAACAGAATGACCTGACTCAGAATAACTTAGTCAAATAGTATTGGGCTAACGGAGTTGTTGGGTTGGATGAATATCATGAGCTCATTTGCATTTGTTATGCTTTGGGCCACGGCTGCCGAACAAAACACATTCTTTAACTCTATTACAATTATCATTATTTATTGCCTTTAATTCAAAAGGTCAAAAAATAGCAGTGATTTTGTCATTCATGAACTTTCAAGCCTCAAAATGTCTGAAACATCATTGTTATTCCATTCAAGTACATCTCGCTCAGCCTTTAGATTGCAGAAAGAAAGAAGAAAAAGGAAGGAAGATCATCTACAGTGGCAACCAGACTCAAAGCGTGATTATAAATTCTAACTATCGCCTCCCAAGATTAGTGAAATTGGCATAAAAGTCCCATTGACCGCAATAATTCTTCTTCTTCAACTTCAATTGTGATCATTGACACTTCCAGCTTAAACCACTCTCTTCATCTCCTGTGTCACATGGCAGCTTCAGTTTACTGCTTAGCCTGCTCAGAATCATATTAGAAATGTTAGTCATATCCCAAACATATGTAATAACTTTTCTGTAGAGGTTCTGTCATCAAATTGTGTTATTAATTGAGGTGTTCTTGCACATCCTATTATGACTTCGTTTGCTTTTAGGAGTTACATTATAGTTACTCTGTTTTTCCCCACTCGAGAGATATGAACAAGCGTTTACATCATATTTGTAGGGTACAAAGAATCAAAATCAGCTTTCGGGGAAGCGACAAATCACCTGTGAATAGAGGAAGGTGCCCAGAATTGCAATGGCAGCCCCAAGGGCGTTGACAGGTTGAACTGGAGTGTGGAAGATAAGGATGGAAGAGACAATCACGGAGATTCTCTTCATTGTGTTCCCAACACTGAATGTCAAGGGAGATATTTGATCAAGAGACATGTAAGACACTTGATTGTACAAGTGGTAGAAGACACTCTGGGCAACCACCCACCTGTAAAATTTCGAACCAGAATCCATTTGTTATGTTGCGTCCAAGAAGAAAACTGATAACTAGAATGAAATTCTACCAATTGCAAGTGATTAAGAGGCTAGAGAAAACAAACAATGATCAGATAGTCACATTGTTTTGCTTACCAAACGAAATTGGGACCAATCTGAGACACAGCCGTTTGCCAGCCAGCAGCCCACATTTTGGGACCTTCCACAGCAATGGCAAAAGGTGTGAGAATCAATAGAGACATCATTGAAAGGCAAGCATAGTAGTTCATTCCGCTAACTGACATCCCCTTCATTCCCTTCTTTGAGAATATGTTTCGGAACACAAATGCCAAATTTGATACCATAGCGCCCATAAAACCTGAAACACAGAGTTTTGTACTTAGAGCATGGAAACAAATGGGATCAGAATCACAAGCTCAACATCATATTGGAACATGTAATGAGCCGGGAATTTTGTCTTTGTGGACAAGTAATTTGCTTACCAGTCATGTTGAAGTTAAGTTCAGTGACTGCAGCAAGTGCACAACCACCAATAATTGGAATCAGAGACATGTAAACTGGCAAAGGGAATGCCTCTCCAAGCAAGAGCCTAGAGACCAAGACACTGAAAGCTGGCTCTCCACTCTTGATGATGTGGGTGAATGAAACTGCAACTTTTGACATACTCACAGTTGCTGCAACATGCCCAATTGTGTGGGCCACAGCCACCTGCATAATCAACTTTCCCGGTGAGTCCTAAACAATAATCCTTCACATCAACCCACTTTTTGATGGCTGTGAACACAGAAAGTGACTCAGATGAGGCCTCATTTTTTCTGAGGTTAGACTTCAAAATGGGTTAGGACAAAACTTTGCAAGGTCTTAAAGCTATTGCTATCAAGTTATTTTAACGTTAGCAGTAATATGTGGATCTCACAAAATTTAATTTTGACATAACTGCATGAATGGTCATGATTAACTCAGTCAAAATTTGATTTCTACCAATTATTTTTCCAAACTCATGAGCTTAAAGCTATTAGAGACAGTCCATAATAGGCTTATTATAACCTCTTAATTATTATTAATTCTAGATCACATACTTGTAGCATGATTGATTGCGTGTCAATCAAGAAATCTGGGGAAAAAAGGGATTGACTTACCGGAAGCAGGGCCTTCCAAAAATTCAAATCAACTTTGGGGGCTTCCGCAATCCTTGTGGTCCATGAGATCAACATCATAAGAGAACCAGCGGCCAGAGACAGAGTGGAAGTAAGCCATGGGTAAGGAAACGCGTTGAGAACCTTCTTATTGTAAATATTGAACACAACATTCAAAGCCCACCAAGTGGCGAAGTACAAGCCAATCTTGAGCTTCTGAGCAGCCTCCATCTGAGCCTGTTCATCAGGCAGTTCGATGTTAATCTCAATGGGTCGCGACCTCTCTGCCTCATAGGCTTGGCATTCTGTAACCCTCCTTCTAGGATTTGCCAGAAATGTGAAGCTCTTAGTCGATGAAATGTAAAGGGGTTTTTGGGTAGAGATGGAGAGTTCAGTTTCTGGGTTTTGCTGGGCATTCTGAATAACAGGTAGTGTGTAAAGATGAGGCCTTGGAACAGAAAGCTTTCTGCTTGTTGAGAATGCAGAGCAGCTCAGTGAAGGTGTCGTGTACTTGATTGAAGAGATCATTATGAATGCTTCGAATTAGCTTAAGCGAAATGCGAATGAAGTAAATCTGCAGTTAACAGGAGAAAAGCTCAATGGGTATCTGAGAATCGATAAGATTTATGTTCTGGGTTGGGATCTCTTGTTTGCTTGATGGGGTTGCTTTGGAAGTATCACAATGTGGAAAGTTCAAAACTTTTAGCAATGTTGGTGAGGTAAAAGAGGTTTTGAGCTTTGGAAAGATTGGATGGCGAGAAAATCGAAGAGCAAGTGGAGGAAAGAAGGAAGAGAAAGAAGAAAATATATTTTTCTGCAGAGGAAGGGGTTCAGCAGAGGTTTATATAGGGAGGAGGAAGACTGAAGAGAGACGGCATGTGGGACTCACATGGTTGGTAACAACTAATAGTTAATTGAAATTTACTAGATTTTTGTTGTTTAAAAAATTAATTCTCCGTTGATTTTTAATATAAAATCTGTTTAACTAATTTGATTAAATTAAAAAAATTAGATAAGCTAGTTAATTATAAAAATTATGACATGTTTTTCCTAAAACATCATAATCATTTTCCTGAATGTCATCTTTTCCTCCTCTACTTGATGAAGGAGATCTATAAAGGTAATTTCAAAAAAATTGATAAATATGAAAAATAAGTTTTGTATCTAGAACTAAAATTAACTTAATAATTAGGTCCTAAATTAAGGACAGAAAGAGTACTAGATATTTTTATTAATTAAGTTCTTAAAACAGTTAAACTATCACACAGGGGGAATGCAAATTACCAGTTTTTTTTTAAAAAAAAAATCATACTTTATACTTTTGTTAAATGATTTCTAAATATAAAAGAAATTTCATATGTAATTTCATATGTTTATTAAATTAATATAACAATTAATAATAATATTGGACTTTTATAATAAGTTTATTCTTTTAAAAATACATGCTAAATCTTTGTCCTTTCTGGAGGATCGTAAGGCAATTTGTATTTCTTAATTGCTATAGTCAACAAATACCTTGCGGGCCGAGTTTGAACTTTCCACGCGGAGATAATTCTTCAAAGTCCGCATTATTTTCATGTGTAAATTAACCTTCAATTGGCCCCCATACACACACAGAAAAAATAATTATAACAGGACGAAATCGTAAATATTTCTCTGGAAGAAAGTGACATGAGATCATACGAGTCAATTTGAATCGTCCAGTTAGTCTATGGAGCAATTGCGTCATGAACATTGTGAGTGTAACGTCAACGATTCAAATTGAGTTCTGCGTACTCCTCTGGTTCTATTTATAGGACAGGAAGAGAAGATATTTTTTGATCCTATTTATAAAACAGTAAGAGAAATTTTTTATATGGATGTATAATTTTAACCCTCATTTATTATTGTGTTAATTTTGTTTACGTGAGATATAATGAATATTAAATAAGGATGAAGTTAGAAAGTTATTAAATTTTAAATGAGAGTTAATAAAGTGTAAGGTATTTTTTTTATCTATGTGAAACATACTGAAAATGCTTTATAAATAGGACCATAGGAGTATATTGTAAATTCTATGAACAAATCTCAAGGTAGGCAAGCTAGGGTGGCGCCACCGGTTGTGTAGTAGAGGAGTCGTGACGGTTGGATGATCATTGGAGACAGAGTGTCCCGCCATGGTGTGGCGGAGAAAAGGGTGGCGGAGTCTCTGGTTGGTTTCATCAGAATCCAAACTAATGATTGATGATGGTTAATAAATGAAGCGAGCAAGCCAAGCCAATTAGCGAAGCATGATGGTGCTTTACGATATGTGAGGTACAGATGAGTTTTAATTCACTTAAGCATCCTTTTTTTTTTTTTTTAATGTTGGTTTTGATTTTCCAGCCAAATGGTTTTTCTTTCATGTTTGTTTATTTGGTGGTGCCAAGTGGCATTATTTGTTTATTTTTTTCCCCCTCTCAAAGTTGGCATGGGATGAGAATTACATGAACGGATGAAAGTTGAAAATTACCAAAAAGCAAAGTGAAGAACCAATGCTTTTGAGATAGAGGAGGGGGACGCATGAATTAATAATTAGTTTTTGTCAACCTCAAAGTGAGTAAAATTTAGATTCTAATATTTACATTTGAAGCACTCAAATGATGGAACTTCAACGATTCAAATTGAGTTCTGTGTATATTGTAAATTCTACAAGCAAATCTACTCTTAACCATTGCATCCCCAAGTGTTTAGGAATTTCTCAGCTATGCTAGTATTAAAATGAATTTGAATCCTTTTCTTCATTTTAATTTCTAGTTGTATTGCCTGAATTTCTAGGCCCAACTAAAATGAAAAATATTAATAGCTCATGTGCTTAATATAAAATTTACTTTAATGGATTGACCTATAAAATAGATTTTATATTAAAAATCAGAGAGTAAAGGTAGTAATAAACAATAGTGTCAAAAACCAAATAATTGGAACCTAAAATTTTATGGGTTAATATGTAAATTTTTCTTTGAAGTTTCCATTCAGTGCTAAACATCTGAAATTTTTTTTAGATATAAATTCGCCTCAAAAATTTAAACTCATAGTAGTTTTGCCTATTACTATTAAAAAATTTACGTTGACTAGTAAAATTATGATATTAATTGTTACTATTTTTAACACAACTTTCTTATGATTTTAAATTTTCGAAACAAATTTGCACCCAGAAAAATTGCAAGTCTTTAACACTTGTAAGTGAAAATCTTCAAAATAAGTTTATATGTTTACCCAAATTTTATTTTCATCTCGTCAATACTGATCTAACACAATCATGTTCTAAACTACAATCAAATAAATATACAAGATGTGTGATTGGATAGTTTTGAATTAGATGGGTAGCTATTACCAACCTCAAATTATTAGGCAGGTTGAACCTGTGATCTCTCGGTTACCAAAGAGCATTTAGGGCAATTTATTTAAAATTCATGATTTTGCTTTCCAACTTTTATTCTTGATTTTAATACATTCCATCATTTTTTATTATATTTTTAGAAAAATCGATGAAAACATTTTGTTTGAAAATTTTACTAGTCAGAAAAACTTGAATTTAAGCACTAGTACTTTTTATGTATAAAATCTTACAAAGTATCAGTATCTTTTGTGTATAAAAACATATCCGATTTTTAAATAAACACTTTTCGACAGCTTCTTTTTATCAGTTATATTAAAAAAAAAAACTCTGATAGACCTCGTAAATTTTTTTTGAATGGAAACTGATTACAACTTCAAAAGAAATAAGCCACCTAAATCAAAAGAAAATGAAACCTATCACCTAACTCCTTCATCAAAGACTGCCTCTTAATTAAGGAGAGGTTGTTGATTAAGAACACAAAAATACATTTTGCCCAAGCAGTCGGCCTGAGTTTTGTTTTCTCTAGGGCTATGGTTGAATACCACTTCCTATTCCCTATAAATAACTCTTAATTTTCTATGCTTTTGATATTTTATATGAATATTGATTTTCTTATCACATTATTCAAGTTATCTTGTTTTTATTTTATTTGATTGATTCCTCTTAAGGCTTAAAGTACCATATAATATATGCAGGCAAAAAAAAAAAAAAAAAGGTACCATATAATATATAATATCATGTTATATTGGAAATAGAATATTAATAGTTTTTTTTAACAAGAATGTTATTTTTTTTAAATGAGATTTGGGCCACAATATTATCTGAAATATAAGTTGACTTTGGTCATAAAACACTATACTTCCAAGAAAAATTCACTATCAGATTCAACAGCCCCTCGATATTTTCTTCATTTTATTTTTTTCTTTTCAATCAATCACATTAAAAAATTATTACGATTGACCTCATACATTTTCTCAAAATTCAAGATAAACTTGTTTGTGCTCCTCTGTCCCATTTTTTTAAAAAATAAAAACACTTCCAACATGTTTTATTGGAATAAAAAAAATTAAACATAATTATTTATGCCTTAAAATTTAATAAATTTCTAACTATGTCCTTATTTAATATATATATATATATACACACACTCTTAAGGAAAATAATAATGCATAATACTCTTCTAATCCTATTTATAAGTTATTTCTAATATATTTCATATAAAATAGGAAAAACTTTAAACTTCAATAAATTTGCACAACTTTTCTTTTTAAAAAAAAAAACTTTGCACAGCCTTATAATTTTATTCCTATTTAATGTATATTATTTTCAATGAAAAAAAGTCAACATAATAAAAAAATAAATAGCAAAGTTGTATATTCATATGGAAAATTTCTCCTTCTACCTCATAAATAGGACTAGAATAAAAAAAAGGATAAAATATAATTATGCATACATCATTTATATAAAAATTTAATGATGTTATTTATAAGTAGCATGAAAAAAAAATATTTTTACCTTATAAATAAGACCAAAATATATGATTAACAATGGCATTATGCTATTTTTTTTTTCAAAAATAGAATGCAAAAAAATGACCCTTTTAGAAGAATTATACATCTTATTCGAGGTCAGATACTGCTTTAATCAAACCTGATAATATTAAACACAATAAATTAATGAGTGAGGAAAAAATGAGCAAAATTGTGCAAAGAGAAGAAAATTAGCAATGAGTATCAAAGTTTAGGAGCAAGTTGGGAGGCGATAGGAGGAGGAGGAGAACATTGGAGGTGGGCAACGCAAGTGACATGTGTGATGAGGTGGGCTCTTTGGTGATATTTGAGATTTTTTCATGATTAGGAGCCACTAGTCAATGAGCATCTTTTTTTTTTTTTTTTGAATTGAAAAGTGACAGCTATACAGAACCAACAAATTAAAACAGAAACAAGTAAACTCTCATCATCCTCCTTCCCTACTTAGAAAGGGTGGGGGGTGATTGAAAACACAAAACGGGGTGTCTCAATGAGCATCTTTTAAGCAGCAGTGTTCTTATTCCTTGTCGTTTCATACTAATTAGATTTCAACACCTTGCTCTGTTTGGTTGGAAAGTTGTTGAGGGGAGGAAAGAAGAAGGAAGGAAAATGAATGAGATAAGTGTGTTTGGTTAGAAAAAAATAGAAGGGGGGGAAGAAAAGAAATTTGTCTTTTAGTTCTCTTCTCCCCTCCTGATGCTCCCCTCCAAATTTGGAGTTTTTTGGATGGGAGAGAAATATTATGTCTAATATTGACTAAACTATCCACACTAACTTTTTAATATTTCAAATTTGTCTCTCTTATTAGAAATTTTTTTTTCACTTTTTTCTCTTTTCAGTCACTAATAATATTTGATAATGATAATATAATATTATAATTATATAATATATACATATCATATATATATATTAATATATACATA